GGCCATCCTTGCCCTCGAATATTTCCCCGTGAGAGTCATACGGCAGTCAACAAGGTGCGCCTCCAGGCGGCAAATTGCGAAGAAAAAAGTTAGAAGGGAAGAAAGATAACACCCTCGCCCTGGTGCGCGTGCCGGTATCAACAAATCATCTTGAAGAGGTCGGAAATAGCAATGCTCTGGAGGAAGTACGAGCGCGGATCTGTAGGTTGACTAACATGTTTTGGACCAGCGTGTGGTTTGCTTTCAACTGTGAACGGCGCGGCAAAGGACATGTAGATCAACCTGGCGTCCTCGTCACAGGAATTATCCCTCTTCCTACCAGTCTCTTTCCCTTGTATAACTCATGCGATCCGTTCTTCGTCATGTGCAGTCATATCGCCGGACTTCGTGGAAAATGTGAGCCGCTCCTTGGCTTTGGCACTGGACAGCAACTACCTATACTTCGGGACAAGCTAATCTCCCGGGGTCCGTTGACTCTTATTTGACTCAACATGGGGCTTCGTGAGCCGCCATATGGTTTCCTGGGTCAGTTGCCTTCCAAAAAGCCGGGTAGGAAGCTTAATACAGGCTGGGATATGGCATACTAGAACATATACCTCAACGTCCACACGGAGATGCCGAGGTGCTTGTGATTCCTTGAACGCTACCGAAAGACTTGCTCGAGATACATGCATTCGGCCGAGTTAAACCTATCCAGCTTCTACGCTGCATAGTCCTGGTGCGATGTCTGTTCCAGTCTGTTGACAATCACTGACATTGATCAAGCGCATTACGGGAGCAGGACCATGAAGTTTTTGAGGAAAGGCTTGAGCCTGGTTGGTTGAGCGGATGAATCGAGCCTCTGCAGATCTCTTTTGACACCCGCTGAACAAGGAATGCCGAGGACAAAGATCCATGGATTGCAACACACAACCAGAATCCGTTCGCCGTACAGCACTTGGACCTGTTCAGTGTCTTCTTCTGGAGAATATAGACCACGGGTGTAAGCTAGCCCACCCGTCTCTCTAGGCAGCATTTTCCTTGTGGCCTGTGATTGTCTTGTTGAAGTCGGCAGCACAGTAGTTCTGGAGCCGCTGAAAGCCAAGTGGTCAAAACGATCCAATAGTCTATACTCAGAGTCCTCGTCATACCTCATGGAAACGCGGAATGAGCGAAGCAATCGGCGAGCTTCGTAGGCACTAGATGGTTCTGCGAAAAAGGCGGTTGGTCACATTAACCTGCAGGCTGCAAAGTATGTTCGCTACACATACTGCAAGTTGAAGTCGCAATGTTTGCAGTCGCGCGGTGCAAATAAGACACTGGTCGGCATCTCAAAGAAAACTTTGAAGAACTTTCAGCCCACAGCCCCAGCTTAACTGTATCAATCAAGCCTTCACGGAGTGCTGGTCGTTTGCACAGTAACCAAGCGGATGGTGCGGTGTTGAAAGGGGTCTCTGACGCGACCGCATTTGGCAAGTGGAAACATCTCAACACCCTCCCCGTAAACACAATTGACGGTATTCTAGCTGCTGTTTCTACACGGTTCGACCTGGCACGCAAGCTGAAGTTCTCTAGGTCGCCCCTAGGCAATCTCAAAGCTCCAAGGACTTGGTTGATCCTCAAGGCCGCAAGGTGAGTATTAAAATCAAGTCATTCCCAGGACAGCGCTCTGAGATAGTCGCTAGAGATTGATTGTCGCATCATCCGTCGTGTTGTCTTTATCTTTCGCAGAGGTCAGTCTGGGGCATTCCCAAGCAACTCATGTGTTCGGTGTGCCGAAGGACGGCCGGCGGTTCAATGGTGCGGCGGAGCCTGTTTGAAAATTGGTGGAAATATGTCAGTGGCGACTTTTGAGAACGAAGCGAAAGGCTACATAACGACTGCGTTCAGATGGTGAGGCGAAGTGAGGCCAGATAAGAAAGATGGCGTTGGCTTTTTCTCCTGCTCCCCTCCAATATTCGCATCTTCGCTACCTTGCGACCGTTGCAGGAAACAAGCTTCCCGCTTTCTGATTGGAGAATTAAAATCATTCAACTTGGAATGTTGAGAATTGCTTTCATGGGCGAGAAAGAGCGGGTATTAGGAACATCTAGATCGCAGGCGGCAAATCACATTTGTGGGATTCAGGTGAGCGTCTGGGTGGAGGTTTCACCCGGCCAGATCCACGGGATAAATTTGACTGTTTCAGCTGTCTTCCGCGGTGACTTAGCTACGGGAGATGCCACAGTGAATACTGCAGATCAGATGTGTCCTCTAAGCAGAGGGTGCGAGGGTGATTCGCTACGAATCGTGGCCGTTGGGCGGCAAAGACGGGATAGCTGTGTTCATCATCCTGAGTAGGTCTCAAGAATGGCAAACCTTTGACAAAGAAGGCTGCTTGCGGTGCCTAACCGTGATTGGTGTGGACGGGGAGCGATCCGAAGCAGAGTAAGAGAAGGTTCAAGTTTCCGGGAATGAAAGAAATTTGGTCGATAGGAATGAGTGGGCATTTCCAAGTCGGTGAGTGTTTCCTTTTCTTTGAGTAAATCGCTCATGAGAAACTGAACTTCCGACTTGCCAAAGATGTTTTCCACGGGCACGCAGCTATCGGGATGCGGTGCAGAAGAGAGGGAGTGAGTGGGTGTATTTCCCCAGTTGCCCCTCAATAACCGATCTGAGGCAGACAGTCCCCCATTCTCATGACCTCGCGAAGGTCAAAGTTGAAGGTGAGTGCTGAAATCACCAAATAGAACAGGGACCATACAAATGCCAATCCTTCCACAGAGTTCCGGAGGTCGAACCGCAAATGTTTACCAATACTGTCGATGAACAGGGCTTCGAACTTGCGGTGAGCATCGTGCAGATCACTCTGGTTTTGGCGACAGTTCACGCAATGTTCTCGCTTCAAATACTGGGAGTAATCCCGTGGTTGGCCCAGACACTACGCGGATGTGAGAAAAGCTGATCCCGATAAACCAAGGACGGGATTCCTTATTGTTCTGTTGTAGCGGCAAGCACGGCAAAACTCGACATTCAGGGAAGTTTTGACAAATGAAAATGATGTCAGCTGGACAAAACGAGGAGCGCCGTCATGTTGAGAATAGTGAGGATGCTGAGAAAAGGACGTTTTGTAGCAGTCACCCGCAAATTCACAAGAGCAGCAAAACATGGACAGGACCAAAAAAAAAAGCGCCATCGAAGGGGCTCGAACTTGCAACCTTTCAAACGGACAAAACAATATTCAGTATCCAACGGCAACCAACCAAGGCACTATCCAAAGGGCAGGTAGTCATGTGCTTGGTGTCGACTTCAGCTTCCACATATACCTTAGCCTCAGCTCCCTCCAGGATTCCCTGTGTGCCAGAAGTAGGCAATGACGCCTCCGAGCGTCCGTCCGTTCTTCTGTGAAGATTTCAGACACTGCGATGGATGCATTATAATGTTACGACCCGTTATGCATGGATAACAGTTGACCGACCCACTTGGGCGTCGGGCGGCTAGAACAGGACATTTGTACTCTGTAGGATCATGGGAACAACAGGGACTCACTCGGAACGGAAGAACTATGGTGCAAGTCACGTGACGATAAGATAAGACTGAGCAGGTGGTGTGGATCACTAAGCGCTCAGCAGTAATTACTGAGCGCTCACTTACGATCACTGAGCGCTCACTGATACCTAGTTAGGAATCAGTAGCAGGATACGAGGAACTGTTTGGAACTTATATATAGTATAACCCTGAGCCTGGCTTATGGTCAGACTTCTATAGCTCTTCAGCAATCAACTTAGTATTTATCCTCACGGATACTCTCAGCTTACCTTCACTGCGAATCACTTATTAAGTCTAAGACTGATCACCTTGGCCTCTGAAGAACCGATCTACTACAGCCTACGAACTACGACCTACGACCACGACCCAGTGTACTGTTAGAACGTATCAATCCCCAGCTTCTGTTAGCAGACCCTACTGTCGGATAGCTGACCGTAACATATAACCCGAATACTTTTAGCCATCTTGATTCATCATGTACCCTCAATCGGCATGGAATCGCCAACCGCAACCGGAAATGCCCTCGTAGGTCACAACGTGTGGCACAAAGAGCACATTGGCATCCAATCTCCAAACGGCAAGAATTTGTCAATAGCTGGCACTAGCCGTCAATAATACCCTGGTCATTCCTGCAATGGAAAGTGACCAAATCTCCTCTGAAGCCACTTAATGCGCTTGGTGCTGGCGAAGTACGTCTGGGAATCCGCATTGAGATGGCGGGCATCCCAGAAAGAGGAGCATCGATCAATCTCAAGACAGTCGATGTCATCCGTCGCAGATATACGGATACTTGTATGCATAATTTATGCAGGTGTCTTTACCCAAATGCCCAAGTGAGATTGACGATGCTCAATGGAATATAACCAGCGGCTCTCGAAGAGATCTTTCTGTCTGGCAAGTAAGGAGGAAAGTGTTGAATCCACCTCTTCCGGCGTCGAGGCGTGCCGAAATCACTCCGATGCTAATATGCGATCGCTGTGAATTATTTCAGGCTATCAACAGCCTCGCGACCTCTTTGCAGAGGTATTCTCAACCTTACATCATTGAGAATTTAGAGGCATCACACATCATAGACGGCTGGGGAAGCTGATGGAGTGATCCAATCCTTCTTGCGAACGCCTTTCCCAACTTCTTCAACACCTCCGCTCCATTGCGAATTGAGGCATTTCAAAATATGTTTAGACCTCTCACAGAAGTGCATGAACTGAATGGCCGTGATGGCTCATCAATGAGCCTTCCTGGGAGCTCGAGGTCGTACAGACGGATCAAACATGTCTTTAGTAAGGAAACAGTTCCCCAGGCTGGGTTGACTTTGTACAAATATGGAGACAGAATAAAACCTTGGCAGATGCGCAAGGGAAACCTGCGGAGCCGGAAAGACGCCAAGACCAAAGAATCCCCGTTTAATGAAGAGGGAAGACGTTCTGACATATCAAGGGCAAAACAGAGAATAATCATTCTGGACCCCGTCCATGAAGAGCCTGCAGGCGTTCTCAAGTCCTCCGCAGCTCCTGACCATGCTCATTTGCTGTATCTCCCCAAGCAGTCGACTTGTAATCCTCCAAAACCTCCTCCGCATATTCCTTGATCATCCCAAGCGCGTCGTTGTACCTGGCCTCCTCTAGATCACGCTGAACTGTGACGGCAGCCGACTCCTCTCTGAGGCTGAGAGGGTCTTCGTACCGAGTTGCCGACAAATGTTTGTCTCGCTGGACCACAGAAATGAATCGACGAATACGCTCCACGCGTTCACGGTGGAACAGGTCGAGCGACTGCATCGATCGAGCGCATATATCATGCTTACGCTCCAGCTCGGTGAGCTCGGCGAGCTCGTCGACGGTAGCAGCGTCTGATGGAACATGCTTCATGCGATTGTCAGCTTCAGTGGCAACGTTGGAAAGCATTTTCTGTCTCACCTGGACTTCTGCGTGAGAAGCAGAGCGAGTCTTTCTGCCATGCTCGACTTCACCTTGGGTGTCCGTCATGTGCGTTCCATGTCTGGAAGCCTTCTCCCTGGTTGGCGTGGTTTGCTCTGCATTCGTGTTGGCTTGAGCTGCGGACCGAGTCAAAATGCTCTCGTTGTCTTTGGGCTCCGAGTCGTTCGCGTCAGGTCGGCGAGCAGTCTTCTTCGTTTGCTTAGCTTGCACTGCATTTTTCTTTCCTCGAGATGCCTTTGTGGCTGCGGCTGCCTTCTTCTTGGCTTTCGCCTCGGCCATCCTGGCTCGAAAGGCCTTTCTTTTGTCGGCGGTCCATTTGGCCGATTTTCGGCTTCGTTTGGCGCCTGCCATCTACACGTCAAAGTCAGAATCGTTTGATAGACTCGCTCGGAAATGGATCGAGATGACTGAGCCTACCTTTCTACGTTCTAAATGACGCGGAGGAGACGATGGAGATATTCGGGGTGGTGTCAAACCACGAGTGTGGTGGTGGAAGAGTGAGGGTTTAGAAGTTAAGCGCGATTCGGAAACCAGCAAGTCAATGGCCTGGCGCGGAGATTTACGCGACGGGACTCCGCGAAAGAACAACAATCTTCCAAGGAAGGTGCGACTAAGGCTACATTCAAGCAGACTCTCCATCAAAGAGGCAGGCGGCGTTATGGGCGGACATAGACGATGACTGCCGCCTGCTTCTTTTTGATCCTGCTTTTCATTCCGGCTATCAATCACAAACATAGTGTCTATGGCCCACATCTTCTCATTCTCCCTGCCTCTTTCATTCTTGAACATCATTACAGAGATTGATTTGCCAGCGTTTACCACCAGCATCCCACACAACATCACGAGGAGAACCTGAGTAGATGTGAGATGTTGCCATACGTATTGCGCAGAAAGTCTGGGGGCCCCTTTCTGTGTATCTGATCATTAGTAACGTATTTCTCTTATTCAAGAGATGTTTCTGGTCGTATTCATGCAGCCAGGTGCCTTCTTTTGCCAACCTCTCCGCCTAAAGCTACCTTTGAAAATGTTACTGCGGATAGCAGATGGCTCGACAAACTTGCTGCAAATGCAAAGACTATTGATGAATCATTAGAAGCTCAGTGAAGTAACCATTGACGCATGTATCTCATTCGTCATCACCATGGCTTCGTTCACCCAATATGCGCAATGGCTGCTTTTGACATTGTTGATGTCAAGAGTACGCAGCCAACTGTCATCAAAGAATGCCAGCAGAGATCAGTCAATGGGGTCCCTTTTCGCTTTTTCCAGGGCCTTAACACTGGTATTGAGTCACCCTTGTGAGGGAACGCAGCTGAAACTATTGCTTGGCCCCGACCTTCTCTACGAGTATGGATGGCCACGACGGTCTCGGCCACTTGTCTCGCTGTGAGAGCTAGCACGAAGGATCTAAAAATGTGGAGGCAATTGGCACAGTGATTAATCAAAGTGTCACTAGTAGTACTACAGACTTCGCTGGACGCATTGAAAACACAATTCAAACAAGCAGTCTGATATCGATATTCATCCAGCCCCTAGTATGTAACGAAATAATACACCGAAAATCCAGAGAAATTCAAACGTCTCCACAGCATTCAACGCTTCCAGCATGAAGCGCTAGCTGGCGAGCCAAAGTCAGCCGTCATGCCCAACCATAAAGTCCATCACCATCCCGGTGCAAGATTGCGAGACCACGAAATTCCATTCGCGACTGTTGGCACCCTCAGCCTGGGCTCTAGAGACCAGCTCTTCTTCCTTCTCACGGCGCATTCGCCTCCTTGCCCCTTGCGAGATGCGTGCCGGCCTCCATACATGGGGCCTGTCCTCTGCCTGGGGCTTGCGATGCCTTCTACTTGCGCGTGCTTCTACTTTTCGGACTTTGTGTATCTCTGAAGCGCGCCGGTAGTGAAGCTCCGTGGTTGGACTCCACAGGTCGTCCTCATTATTGTCGCGTGGCACCAGCTTTGTTTCCCAGTCGACGGAGACGGGGTCGAATGCAGCGTCGCTCTCTGTGCCCTTCTGTGCGTTGCCCGACACAGAGTCCGTATCGCTGGATGCATGGATGCAGTCCACACTGTCGTCGACTCCAGCGTCGTGCGCGTTTCGCCAGACTGTGAATAATTGGTTGCATTTCTTGCAAAGCAATTCTGCCTTCGAGATCGCGGCGGAGGGGGTCATAGCCGTCTGGGGAAGGGGCTCTGCGGTCGGCATCTGGAATATTTACGCGTCAGCCGAAGTCGAAGGATGAAGTGGTGGTTGGAGCCAACCTCTGGGCGAAGGAGATTTCGTGAGACCTTCTCCCAGTCACTCAACGCACGGGATATGTAGGGACGACTGTATCGAAGTCGCAATGTCTTGTGGACATTGTGACCGGCTTGTTAGAGTCGCCACTCTTCTATTTTCAGGGTTGGAGTCGTTTCGGGTGTGTTGGAGACCTTTCAGGGAGCGGAATGATTGCTTGTAGTGTTTGCTTTCTCAAAAAGGCAAGATCCCGGTTCTTTGCTGACAAAAGGGTTGTTGGAGGGTGGTTTCGTTGTGTTGTTGGTCCTCATGATGACCTCAGAGGTGGGGATCTCATTGTTGGTTCGGGGCCCACTCCGGGCCCGTCGTGGTGTACATACTGGACCTTTTTTTCTTTTGTCTGTTTCTTTTCTGACCCATTCAGCACAAAGGAGCCAATGCGAAGATGCTTGCAACAGTCAGATCCCAGGGTTCGGGTATCATATTCTGAATTTGACTGAGCTTGGGCGCTCAGCTTAGCCGCTTGAGATGACTGGCTTGTTGGGGTACATCGCAAGATCCCTGCATGTGTGAAATGAAGGATGTGATTGAGCAAGGGGTGTACCCTTGGCGCTTGGTGGGGTCCCCATGTGATTGTTGTTCCTGTTGGTATCCTCCGCCCATTTGGCCACTCATACCAGCGGCCGACATGTCTTGCCGCAGCTGTCTGTGTAATTACGTCCGGCCAACCACCAAACTGACTGCGCCTGGGCCCATTTATCCGGCCCCGGAATACCCACTCGGCATGCGGGCGGTGCACCGATCCCGGTCACTGCGACACGGAGGAGTGAGTTCAAGGAAGACATGGCTCTGCTTCATTGAAGCCCGCAAAGTGCACTATTGGACATGATTGAGATGTCTTACTCAAGTGTGAGATTTGTGAGATGTATTGAACCTGGCCTTCGCGATCAACATGGCCATTTACTTTGATCATCCTTACGATAACCTCCTAAGTAGAATATTAAAGCCAGTTATGTTCAGTTGATGTTTAATTATCTCTCGTAAGTGTGCTCCAGAAGACCTTAAATTGTTTACGGGCCATTAACATGTTCAACCACAAGCCTGGTCACGTACTATAGTCCCTTCGAGAATTCGCTCGCCGTCAACACTCAGGCTCTCGGTCTCTATGGCACCGCTGCACTCTGCCTTGCAGATGATCTCTATGTAACAATTGCATATTCGTCCCCAGCCTCATAAGAGGAAGGAAGGGTTTTGCTCCTCTCTGGGCACTGAGGGAGAAGAACCACCACTAACTGCTGCGCAAAATTCCTGGACAGGTTGGCTCCCGCACAAGCTCAAACCTGCGATGAAGACCTTTGAGAAGGCACAGGGCTATCAAAGAGAAATGAACCTGCCACCACTATCAGAATACGTAGGCGTTATGATGTAAATTGCATTGCTGTGATTGAGATTGTCGACTTTGCATCAAACTACTCAAATGCCTCCGCGTCTCCAAGACAACAATATAGCTAGCTTTCATGATTTACCCAAGAAGTAAGACCGCCGCCAGCCGCCATATTAAAAGGCTCATTCGGGCACACCAGGTGAGCAGCTTGGAGGATTGTGTTTTGCCGAAACGCATTTAGTGTCAGGATCGAGTGCTTGGAGAAAGAATAATACATGAGGACTTTTCGCGAGCTAATTGGAGACCTTTGGAATGCCAGCTTCATGATACGGACCATGATGGATATTTCCCTCTTTTCATTTCTCCCTTGAATGAGGACAGGACATGATGGCAGCCAATTGAGTGTCGAAAAAATGAATCCTTTGGCGTCTGGTCGGTTCACTTGGGGTTTAGTGGTGCGGCAGAATCTTTTCTCAGTACGACGTGAATCATTTCGGTAAGTTTTTAGACGAGGTTTTGTTGTTCTGGCCCATTTTATGACGCATTCTGTTCACTATGATTGCGTTAGTTAACTTGATATGGGATTGTTTTAAGTTTCTGCGAGACATATATGATATTCTTTCGTCTGGTATTCTACTTCAAGTGAGTGAATGAGGTAGTCAGTCCTCTTGGATGAGTCAGTAAGCGCTGCTGATGCTATAAAACCACCTTGGTCTCAAGCTTCAGTAAATCATCGGGAGTCATGAGCAAATCAGCACGCAGATGACGGGAAAATCAATGCAGATAACGAGTAAAATGCAGCGCAGCGCTAGAGTGACGACCAGGAAAGCTCAAGACTCCCATTTGAAAAGAAATTAAAAACAAAGGCGACCAAACAGACAACAACACACGAACCGACAGCAAAGCACCACCGCAACAACAGCAAATCTCAAACGAGCTCGAAAGCAAAGACGAACAACAAAACGAAAACGATAAACGGCCTCAATGGCGCCAGTAAACACAAGCAAACAGAACACGAAACACACCAGACACCCTTACTCGTCGTCTGAATCGAAGACTAAGCTGGTGAACATGGTTCCAGCCCGACGCACCGGCGGCGTTGGCATCAACTCCTCATCGTACTCTGAGCTCAACTCGTCCTCAAAGGCCCGGCCGGCGCGAGGTTCGTTGTTGGGCTCGGCAATGCCCTCCTCTTGGGCGACAGCGGTGTCGAGAACAGCAGCTCGTGCGTGCCATGCGATGTCCTGACGATCGGCAAGCCGCATACGGGATGTGAAAGTGCCTTGCCTAAGCTGGGACATGGTGGTGTCGTACATGCGCTGGGCAATCCTGTCAAGCTCCTCCTCCTGGCTCGCAGGGGGTGCCCTAGGGCGGCGAACACGGCGTGCGGGCGGGGGTTGGGGGGCCTCTTCGGAGTCGGAGTCGGAGTCGGAGTCGGAGTCGCGGTCAGAAGAGACGGAAATGGTGCGGCGGCGTTGGCGGGGGGGCGCATCGGACTCTGAGTCGGATTCGGGCCGGGATCGGACGGCGCCGGGAGCAGACCGGACAGCAGGGCGGGCGGGCGAGCTCCTGAAAGGGTCATCGTCGGAACTCGGGGCAGGGGAGCCATGGGGCTCGTTACCAACGAGGGGGATGTTGTGGTCGCGCAAGGGGATATCATTGTCATCGCCGAAAAGGGGATTGTAGTCGTCGCGCGCGTCGTCGTAGCGGAAGTCGAGAAAAGCGTCATTGTTGCGACGAGAAGCTTCAGTCTCTTCCTCTTCCTCTTCCCCATGTTGCTGCTGCTGTTGCTGATGGCGCTCCTCCGCATCCTGCATCAGGCCCATGGCTTCTGCTTCTGCTGCGGCCTCCTCCATCTCAGCCTCGTGGAGAGCGAGCATGCGCTGTGCGGCGGCTTCTTCCTGGTGGAGGAGCTCCAGCTCGGCCCAGTCTCGTTCTTCGGCAGCTTGTTCGTGCAGGCGCTGGACCCTCACAACCTCAGCATCGGCGACGGCAAGCTCAGCAGCGAGCATCTTGGCGGCTTGTGTAGCTACGGCCTTGGTGAGGTTAGAGGCCCCGGAGGTGATGACAGCCTGAAGCAGCAGCCCGGCATTCTCAGGGTCTCGTGGGGAGCCAGCCCAGAGAGCGGCCAGGTCGTTGGTGGTGGCGCCAGGGCGGGAAAGCACTTTGTCGGTGATCCAGACCATCTTGCGGATGATGAGGGGGGCGATGGGCGGTCTAGGAGCATAGGCAGCGGGAACCCAGGGGTGAGCTCCCCAACGGTGCTGGAGAGTCGCAAGGCCTCTCTCTGCGCTGATGTCTTTGGCGGCAACGGACGGATTCTCGCGGAGGTGTTGGTGAAGCTGTCGTCCATGGCCTTCGACAGAGGCGAGCAAGGAAGCCGCAGCGCGCGAGGCAGCTTGTGGGCGAACAGCGGCGGCGGGCGTGATGGTGTCGTTGATGAAGGCAGACACGACATCGGCGGTGGGGGCGGCGGTATGGGGATATGCATCAATGAAGTTCTATATTGTTGGCAATATTAGTGTCGGACTTATGTGAGACGACAGATGATCTAGAGTTGATTGATATAAGACACGTTGGTCTAGCCAGGTTCCGCATTATATTTGGAGTGAAAATGAAAATCATAGGAGGCTTTTCTGTAGAAAGGGGTTGGATAATACAGAAACACATACGAGTCGTCCGCGGTTCGCGCCAGACTGGTTGTCGCGGTTCGCCATGGTGGTTGAGGTCGAGAGAGGTAAGGTGAGGTGAGGTGAGGCGAGACGAGGCGAAAGTCAGACACCAGACAAGAAAAGACCACACAGAACAGAATTCAACATTGGCCGAGGCCGAGAAACCGAACAAACGAACGACAAACAGACAACACCGAGACGTCAGGATGATGATGGCTGTAGAAGGGGAAGGGAAAAGAGGGGTAGGGCATGAGGCGGTGGTATGGCCTTGCAGACTCTGCCCGCAGGCACCTGAGATGCAGGTGCTCTCCTCCAATGTGGCTTCCATGTCAATTGGCACCTTTCGATGGACATCGCACTTGCCATGTCCACGTCGCGCCTGCACACACTCGCACATCACTGAGAGGCGCTGTGGACGGACCCTCTGTGTGAAGGGAAAGAACGCAGCGACGGCAAGACACGAGAGAAATACACGAGAGCCGACGCCGAAGCAAAAGGTAAAGGAAAGATGGTGATTCTCCCATTTGTCGATCTTGCTAGACATGAGTGCCTACTTCGCATTCCGAAAAGTCCCTGTTTGTCCAGTGCGTCTCTGCTTCCTCCCACCCCCATCACCCGGCCGTTCAGTATTCTGCAACACTGACAATTGCCTGTCGCGCCTACCTTGACTACCTTGACTGCCCCAAAGAGAAGACACAACAATGCGCCTGCTCCCCTGAGCGTCCCCCGGCCACTTGGCCTCGCTCTCAGTATCGGACGTCGTCATTGGGAGTGCCCCACTTTCGTCTCTGCCAAATGCCCAAAAGTGGAGCCCACCAAAGCACACTGCAGTCTTCCACGAGTGTCAGCTCCCTTTTCCTTCCGTTCTGTGTGTCCCAACCACGCGCCGTCCGTGTTTCCGCTAACATGTATCCCGAAGAAGCTTTTTGCCCGTTCGTGAGGTGTCCTCCGGGGCATCTGGCGACACCACTGAGCGAGAGGATACGCTGCTGCCGGCGCCATAAGCCATCCTATCCAGATGCCTTTTTCAGACGGACCCCGCCCTATAGATTATCCATGCAAGTCGCCATTGATTGCGCTGTGCTGCAAACACTGCCGGCTTGGGCATCGGAATCTCGTGATGCTTCCAATCTTCAATGCGCTGCGCCCACTCAATGTCAGCGCTGTTGTCAAACTTCCAGTGCGGCTTGGGGCCTTCCTCGATCCGTTTTCTCTCGTCCGACACGCGCTGTGCTATTTGAGCGCGGTCCGTCGTATCGACCAACGCGCCCAGCCTCACGAGTCTGGACACCATGTGCACAGCTGAAAGTTCGCCTTCCTCTCCGTCCTGACTTCTCCCCTTGACATCCTCGGAGAAACAAGCGTAGTGAAGGCTCCAACACCCAGCCTCGTCTGGCCAGTCGTGAACTGGTCCATTGCGTAGAATCGTATCTCGGAGTGGGCCGTGGCACTGGTCGATGGTCCACTCCATCATTTCCACCATACGGCCCGCAGCCATAACATGCAGCCCCGTGAGACCTCCACAGCTGCTATGCGGCCGGTCCCATACAGCTCCCTTGCTGATCAGAAGTTTCGCTATGGCCTCGTTCCCGTGTGCGAGCGCCAAGTGTAGGGATGTTGGCTCGACGCCACCTCCGGCAGACCACATGCCTGTCGTGCAAATAGCATTCATGTAGGGCGACGGGCAGAGACAATCCAGCAACGCGCTGGGGTCAATCGAGACTCCACGTCTGAGAAGCCAGCGGGCCATGTCCTTGTCGCCTCGCATTGCAGCTGCATGGAGGAGAGTCGCATATGGCTGGCCATCTTCAGGGTCCATGTGGCGTTTGGTCGGGCACCGCCAGGGGACGTAGAATGCAGCGGACAAGACTGGTGCGGTGTCAAGAGGTCGGAGGACGCGCGGAATGTAGGCAACCAGACGAGACAGGAGAACGAGATCGCCGGAGAGCGCAGCGGCCATGAGAACACCTACCCGATTGGCGGGAAGTTTTCTGCCATCGTCAGAAACGCGCGGGCAAGATTGAGGAGCGAGAAGGTTGCTCACTTTGGCATTGGAGGCCCAAAGAGCCGTCGATAGTCTGGGGGGCTTATGGCCCGACTGCCATGCAGAAACCGCCTGGCGCCGTTAGCAACGGAGTTTGCAGGGTGGATGGAAACTGACATCCAGGACCTGCCGGGACAGAGCATATACCAGTCCCACAGGATGGCATGCTTGTAGAGAACGGGGTTCGCGACGCCATGCAGTATGCGCGACACTAGAGTCAGGTGGGCCAGGCTCCGTAAGTCGAGATTGGCGTTGTGATCAGGAATCGCAAGGGCTTCGGCGATGCCGGAGAGTATCTCAGGAGGGAGATTCGAGAGGCGATCCATCGTAGTGCTCAGGCAGGCAATTTTGAATTGGCTTTGTTTCTTTGTGGAATGAATGCAGATGGTAGTGGATTTTTGAGGACGTTTCTTGGAGTTTTGGGTGGCAGCAGGTGCTCTCTCCGGGGTGGTCAGCGATCGGGATGCCTCGGGAAGATGTTGTCAGGAGGCGTGGGAGTTGAAATAAGGTGTGCAGTACCCAGCGTGTAGGTTTTTTTTTTTTTTTTTTTTTTTTTTTTTTTTTTTCCCATTTGGCGCCTGCAGATGACAGCGGCCCGGACCGACTGTGAGACAGGGATGCCACTCAGCGACTCTCGGGGCGATCGTTCTCCAGAACCGGTAGGCAATGGTGCGCCAGAACACTAGCTGGGGTTGGTGAGATCGGCCGATTGGGCAATGAACCAAAATGGATGACTTTGTCCGAACACGCGCCTGACTTGTTTTTTGGCGAGGCAGATGCGCTCTCGGCACCTTCCAGTGGAGATGAGATTCAGCGGTCGCGACGGTAAATGGAAGGACACTGCAGGTGCCTGCCCAACGTACTTGCGTGACGTCGCTCCACCTTCCCCACCTAAATCATTTTCCCTTCGGGAGCATCGACCGCGCTCAGTCGCGGTGTGTGAGCCATCATCGACCGACAAGCAAGACGGGCGATGGGCTTTGGGGGCGCCCAAGGCCCTGTCAATTGCTAGAGCAGCACATTGGCCAGCATGGGCGGAAGTGGTGTTCTACTGGGTTATTCAGCGCTCCAACGCGACGCGTCACGTTGGTTATCCGTGAGCCCCGCAGAGGTACCTTACCTAGGTAGGTACTCAGTGCACGGCGAAAAACTGCCCGGGCCCCTGAAACAAGTCCATACCTCCCGATTTCCCGGTGCGAAATCGGTAGGTACCAATCCTTTCAGTGGGCCATCTGCTGGAAGCCCCCCTGGCAAAGTTGCCTCTGCGCTGGGGCAGTACCTGCTCACCAACGTAACCCCCTGAGGCCAGAAACCCGACCTGACCTACGCTCCGCTTTGACGACAGTCACGAATGGCCGGAATCTGCGATAATTGCAAACTGAAAGACAGCGTTGACGATGCCTCCACGGGAAATTGCCTACGAAACTACGAATCCAGCTCATGCCTTGTCGAAATTCGCTTGAAACGACGTAGGTAGAGGCGAAGACCCTGTGAGCAATCTCAAGGGTACGTCGTCGCCAGGTCGAAGAGAAGGGAGTTTGAAAGGTGTGCTATGATGAGAGACGAGTGCGGGAATCGACTATTGACTGCAACGTTCTCGGTATCGTCGAAGCTTGTGTGACTCGTAGCAGCCGCAGCGTTCATGGCAATGCAGATTTGGCAGTCGGTCTTGCGCTTGGCCTTCGATTTGGATCCGGCGAGGGTGTTAGTACCCCTGCAGGCGGCAATTTGGCGGTTCCCAGACCCAAAAGGAGAACGTGAACTTGATGGAACAGTAGCCAGGACTGGCCTTGACGGTGCCGACGTGCTTGCGGCCTGCACTGGAGTCGATCGATCGGAACCAGTCCTCTGGGGTTGGCGAATTCTCGAAGCTGGGAAACTTGGCGTCTCCATTTGCTTTGGTCCCTATCCTTTTGCGTGGGACGGCGGGCGATGTTGGTGATGTTGGTGGTCGCTGAAATCCCTGGTAGGTCGAAATTCGAGAACGCAAAGGCCAACAGGGAGGAGGACAGCAGAACAAGAAGCTCAACGCAGGACAAGGCAAGACGAGTCGATCCGATGCGAGATAGCGACAAAGGCAATATGTCCTGTCAATCTTGGTGGCACCTCCGGCGACACCTCGGAGAAATGTCGGGTGGCCACCTCTGTCTGGGAGAGCTTCGCTCCTGCCGTTTGTAAAGTGGTTTCCGTCTGGTGCTGGTGAAGCCTGCTTTGAAGGGAAGAGCGGCTCCTGCCCGCTGACAATGCCCTTTCACCTGCCGAAGCCTCCCAGTGAGTGCTTTGCGACTTCTCCTTCGCTGATATTCTTTTTCCCGCGCAACGTGAACCCGCAAGAGTCATCCACAGACAGGCGCCGCATTCATCATCAACCCACGGAACTTCTCTCGGAACGACAAAACACTCGAAGACTCCACTGCAAGCCCCAAAAGCGGCCCGGTAGTCAATACACCATCGACCATAGCGTTGCTTCAGCGAGACCATCGGGTGGCGGGTGCTCAACAGATACCGACAGATCATGGCCGTCGGTGCTCCAACAACCAAGAAACCGACTACCTCGAGCGCGAAAACCGGCATGCTCCATCCTCTCCCGCCGACCTCCTCACTATCGGCGCAGTGCACAACCTGGCCAAAGCTGCCGTTACCCCACCGAGACCGAAGCCTGCGAGACTCCGAACCTCGCAATCCGGCCTATCCTGCTGCCTCGACAAGCACGCTAAGTTTGTTGGAGACTTGATAAGAGGCAGGCTGTGCAGACAGTGCCTGGAGCTTGGAAATGGTGGGAGCTAGCGGGTGGATATATCAAGGAGGGTCGGCATCAATTTCATCAGCGGTATCATCAGGACAGTCCGTCACAGAGGGGTCACGCGTATTTATGTATTCGTGTCCTGTTTCTTTACCGTGATCAAGTGCTCAGGTCTGGAAATGCTAGGTTTTGGACAGTACCAGACCCCCAACTCTTGACGTCTTTTCCTGGACCACTTCGCTGTCATGCACACGACTT